CCTTCTGGAAATGCTAGGGGACAGAGGGTCAAGCGTGAAGCAGGTACTGAAGGAAATCCTTCTTAGTCAGGAAATGTTGTTGGGGAGATTGATGGGATTAAAACCCGCAAAATCCCCAGAACCTGATGCTCTGCATCCCAGACTCCTTAAGGAAGTTGTCCTTTTCAGCATTCTTTAAACCCTGGAAAAGTTCCAATAGACTGGAGGGTAGTTAATGTAATTCCACTTTTTAAAGAAAAGGAGGGAGAGAGAAAACAGGGAATTATTGACCGATTAACCTGACACCGGTGGTGGGGAAAATGCTGGAGTCAATTATGAAGGATGTAATAATTGACCATTTGGAAAGCGGTAACAGGATCAGTCGAAGTCAGCATGGATTCACTGAAGGGAAATCATGCTTGACAAATCTTCTGGAATTTTTTGCAGATATTATCAGTCGAGTGGACATGGGTAAATCAATGGAGAGTGTGTATCTGGACTTTCAAAAGGCTTTTGACAAGGTTCCACATAAGAAATTAATAAGCAAAATTAAAGCTCATGATATTGAAGTTAATATATTGACATGGATAGAGAACTGGTTGGAAGACAGGAACCAGAGAGTTGGAATAAATGAGTCCTTTTCAGAGTGGCAGGCAGTGACGAGTGGGGTACTGCGGGGTTCAGTGCTGGTCACAATATACATTAACAATTTGGACAAAGGAATTAAATGCAATATTTCCAAATTTGCAGATGGCACTAAGCTGGGTGGCAGTGTGTGCTGTGAGGAGGATGCTATGAGGCTGCAGGGTGACTTGGACTGGCTGACTGAGTGGGCAAATACTTGGCAAATGCAATATAATGTGGATAAATGTGAAGTTATCCGCTTTAGAGGAAAAAAACAGGGAAGCAGATTTTGAGATAGTAGGAACTGCCGATGCTGGAGAATCTGAGATAACAAGGTGTGCAGCTGGATGAACACAGAAGGCCAAGCAGCATCAGAGGAGCAGGAAAGCTGACGTTTCGGGTCTGGGCCCTTCTTCAGAAGGTAGATTTTTATGTGAATGGTGGCAGTTTAGGAAAAGGTGAGGTTCAACAAGACCTCGGTGTCATGGTAAAACAGTTGCTTGAAGTTGGTATGCACATGTAGCAGGCAGTGAGGAAAGCTAATGGCAAACTGCCCTTCATAGCGAGAGGATTTGAGTACAGGAGTAGGGATGTCTTGCTGCAGTTATACAGGGTCATTTCTGAAGAAGGGTCCAGACCTGAAACATAAGCTTTCCTGCTCCTCTGATGCTGCCTGGCCTGCAGTGTTCCTCCACTTCCACACCTTGTTATCTCAGACTCCAGCATCAGCAGTTCCTACTATCTCTAAAATCCTGATGGGACTGGGAAGGCTA